CGGCTCCGGTCGGGCCGAGTACCCGAGTACCGGCTTTGCGACTCGGACACAAAGGGCTCAACTATGGAGAGTGCGGAGGGGAGCGAGGGGGACTGAAAACAACGCAGGAAGGAGCACTTCACATCCTCTTAGTGACGGACAAAGTCGCCGTGCATGAATGTGTGGCAGACACAGGACGGCCGAGAGAAAATGCAACATGCAGGTGATCGATGTGAGCGTCAATCGCATAGAACAATTGGGCATCAGCATAACATCGTATCAGTGGGTTCGATAGTGAAGAGTCATGAGCACAGTACATCAGTGATATAGGCTTTGACCACAGTGTGTTAGTGAGACAGCTGTGACCACCATACGTTAGTGAAGAAGGCTGCGACCACGGTACGTTGGTGATGTCACATGTGACCGTCGTGCAATACTTGGGAGTTAAGGTAGCCAAGCCGGTACGTTACCCAGGGTGGTACACACCACGGCACATTCGGGAGAAGTGCTGTGACGCGTGGTACGTTAGTGAAGGCAGCTGTAACCGAAATGCGGTACCGAGGACAGCTGTCGGACTGCGGTACATTAGTGACGACAGCCATATGATCACGGTACGTAAAAGTGGGGGCAGGTGTTATCGCAAGTAAACTTGTGTTTCTGAATAAAGCCTGGACGTGAACGTGGGCCAGAAACAGAAGGTGGTTGTTCTGAGAATCTGTTCTATTCTGATGTGTTTATTTAGTTCAGGATCCCACTGAGTCCAAGACAGTTGCAGATCACATGTTCTCGACATAAACAGGGCTGAGTGAATATAGTAACAGCTGAATTCAAGCTTTTCGCGGTCTGACAAATCGAACGGGTCCGTTACCTGGCACCGCGAGCGTGCTGCTGCCAGTGCTCCCGGCCCGTCACGTGCACGAGTCCGGCTGCCAGTCAAGAGCACGCACGCCATGGGCGCAAGCTCGATTGTCGCATGCCTCGAGCCGGATCCAGCTGGTAGGTCAGAGGTAGCCTTATGCCTCAAGCCGGATCTAGTTAGTAGAAGGCCAGAGGTAGCCTCATGCCTCGAGCCGGACCTAGCTGGTAGGAAGTCAGGGGTAGCCTTTTGTCTCGAGCTGGATCCAGCTGGTAGAAGGCCAGAGGTAGCTTTATGCCGCGAGCCGTAGAAAACAGCTGTTTGTGATGTACTTGCTTAGCTCGGACTGCAGGTCATTATAGTATTGTAGAGGAGAGCCATGTGATAAACTGCTGCTCTGGTGATATTCCAAAACAATGCAGCATATGTGTAAGGCTCGCAGGCTCGTGCGTTATCCTTAATGACAAAGCAAATTTGGTTCGCCCCCGTAGCGCAGTTGGTTAAAGTGCCTGCGCCTCTACCTGTGGTGGTGTGGCAGGGCTCGAGTCGCTTCAGCGGCCTGCCATATGCCCCTGGCTGGGATGGTTTGCAGCCGGTGTCAGAGGCCGCTCAAGTATCACGCCGAGCGTGGCGGCTTGATAACCTTTCACCACAACATATACCGTTGAACTGGAATCTCATCATCGGATCGCGCAGTCAGAGCTCACGTGTCACGCCGCGTTTAGCGTGGGGCCTAGTCTGACGACAAAAAATTCAATCAGTTATAAAAAGTGACCGCTGTGAAAACTAAAATCTTCGAGCAACTGGAAAATAAAATAATCTTCCTGAACAAAGCAAACGAAATAATGGCTGACGGTGCTCCGTGTAATACAAGCCATGTGGAACGAAGCCCAGTTCAGACGAGTTCTAAAAATACACCAGATTTGCAATCATATGTCAGAAGTTGGGCTCACACCAAATATTTAGGAGCATGTAATTGTAGGTTGCATGGCAAAGACGTCGCTCTGGTAAATGTACTTCGGGTTTAAGTAGGCGATATGCCCGTGATTTTCACGGAACTCTCGAGGAAATGAATACCACACTACACTAATATCATACAACGGCTATTAGAAAACAGTTCATCATGGTTCATAAAGCACTCGTAAAAAGTCCAGCGCTGGTCTGGGCTCGAACGCATGGCACCTCACTTATATACCAGAATGCTACAGACCGCACCACAGACACCGAGCGGCATGCACTACAAAGCGAAAAATTCACGCCGTACGTGCAGGAAATCTCCATCCGTTACGCGGCGGGAGTTTGGCTCCTGTAGACAACAACCAGGCAAGGATGCAATATAGGATTCGAACATCGCTCTACAGCTCTCACGAAAGCGCGCCTCCAACGCGTCAACTCTATAGGCTGGTGGAAAAAGAGCGCCGTGAAGCTTTGTGCTGCCCACGCACTTCGGTGGGTGCCGTCCCCAGCCAACCGGAAGCGGAAGAAACGACATCCGCGTGGTGGTATCCATGGCATTATGAAGTGGGTAATTAATGTCAAAACGATGCACTGCGAATGCTCCTTAGCAAATAATTATGCTGGATGCGCATAAACCGGCATTGTCAAGTTGCTATGAAGTGATTAACACCTTGTAAAAAGTAAAAGGACCAATTCAAAATGCCCTATGAAGTTGTTACGGTTATGTGGCAATTTAGCTATCGGAGATTGCCGGGGCTTTGTCACCTTTCAAAGTGCGAGGACAGAAGACTTCCTGTCTATTTCACAACTGATGGCTTACATGGAACAAAACAAAACAAAACAAAAACAAGCTGGTGATACCGTATACGATCTACGACTTCTAACCATGCCATTTCTTAAAAGATCAAGCAGCTTGAATGCTACGTCAGGTCGACCGAGGTCAAGACACCTTTTCTGTTTTCGCAGGCCGTATCCTGAGGACCGGGCTCCGTCGATGGAGAAAAAAGCAAAGGTCACAAACGCACATACATAGTGACTGGAATGAAGCGCTGTCTGCACTCATGATAACAGTCATCATGAGTACACTCGAACTAACGGCAGCACCTCTGAGGCCTCTCAGTTCAGTCAGCCAACCTGTGAGGAATGGCTTGGCTTCGCGACAGGTTTGTGTCGTGCGTTCAGTGAAACACGGCGACTTTTCTAGGCGAAACAATATTGCTTGGCCAGCCGAGCACTTCCCTGGTCATCTCCACGATTCCATTGCTGAATAATTGCTACAATTTGTGTTCCAAGCGAGCTCCGTAGAATGCGACCCATGCCCTCGGGCGCTTCAGAGCTGCCTTGATCTCGCCGTCCTCGGGCCGGGTACGACCGCTCTTGACCTCGCGGCTGCTGTCGACCGGCGTCGACCTCTTTGAGGCTTCTGTGTTCGTTGCGCATGTCCGCACGTTTATGAGGTGACTCTTCAACATTCTTCTTTCTCCCACTTCCTTTTAAGGCATGGCTTCTTTTGAGCATCAAATCTGCGTTACACATTTGTGGACGCGGCTTCACCGTGCCACGGCGCAAAAATGAACGTCAGTAGGCTTCTAAAAACATTGACATTCGTAAGAGCGATCAGGCTGTGATCTAGAGCCTTGCAATTGGCAGCTTGGAATTGGCAGGAGTTGAACGTGAATTGAAACGTTCGATGTTTTGGTGAAATGCCACTGCTTATGACGCCGGGCTAAGTGACCTTTCGTCGATGAAAGACGCTTCATTCGGAGTTTTGACGTTTGTTTTGGCAGCTCTGGCAGCTACATCCCTGTAGGTGGTGAGTGGGGGAGTATTTTCATTCAAATGGTCATATTTTAATTTCCTGAAAATAGTTTTCTTTAACCCTTCATCCACCCAGCCGTGAGTTTTTGACACGTACACCTGCATGGAAACAGAGGTGACCATATTATGAGAAGGTTCACTTCATGGTCAACTCCGTCATCTTGAGTGTCCATAATCCAAGACAGCTGGTGATAACCTTGAGCAAATATTCTTTTGAATGCCCTCAGGGTTTTTGAAAACTATCACATGCAAGCTGCCCTCGACAAAGGGTGATGCATGTTCTGCATATTAGCTTAATGCACCATCTTGGTCGGGATGCACAACGGAGAAAAATGTTTCAAATGAACACCATTCTCCTGGCCAATACTCCTGATTTAACAGAGTTATCGAACCGTCTCTTATATGACCGCGACTAGATTTCCTGTTCGCCAAGACGACAGGCCATTTGTCTTGGCGAAAAGGGAATCTAGGCCATTCTCAAGCAAGCCAACTGATATCAGGCAATCAATACAAATCGCCATTCGTGCCGTTCGCTGGTGAAGCCTTGATCGTTCTCAGATGCGCGGTCGACTATCGATCACGCCCGGCATTACACAGCACGCCGCACACCCGATTACTTGCAGGTAACGACGGACCTTTGTCGGCACGTCGATAAGCTCAGAGCCAGCACGGCCGGAGTCGGCGGACAGCGGGCTCACCTCAGAGCAGGAGCCGTGCTGTGGCTCACCTCAGAGCAGGAGCCGTGCCGTGGCTCACCTCAGAGCAGGAGCCGTGCCGTGGCTCACCTCAGAGCAGGTGCCGTGCTGTGGCTCACCTCAGAGCAGGTGCCGTGCCGTGGCTCACCTCAGAGCAGGAGCCGTGCCGTGGCTCACCTCAGAGCAGGTGCCGTGCTGTGGCTCACCTCAGAGCAGGAGCCGTGCTGTGGCTCACTTCAGAGTAGATGCTGTGTTCTGGCTCACCTCAGAGCAGGTGCCGTGCCATGGCTCACCTCAGAGAAGGTGCCGTGCCGTGCTCACCTCAGAGTAGGTGCTGCACTGTGGCTTACCTCAGAGCTGCGGCTCTCCTCAGAACAGGTGCCGTGCCGTGGCTCACCTTAGAGTTGTGGCTCACCTCAAAGCAGGTGCCGTGCTGTGGCTCACCCCAGAGCTGTGGCTCAACTCAGCGCAGGTGCCGTGCTGTGGCTCACCTCAGAGCCGTGGCTCACCTCAGAGCAGGGGCCGTGCCGTGGCTCACCTCAGAGCTGTGGCTCATCTCAGAGCTGTGGCTCTTCTCAGAGCAGGGGCGTGCTGTGGCTCACCTCAGAGCTGTGGCTCTCCTCAAAGCAGGGGCCGTGCCGTGGCTCACCTCAGAGCTGTGGCTCTTCTCAGAGCAGGGGCGTGCTGTGGCTCACCTCAGAGCAGGCGCCTTGCCTTGGCTCGGCGTACGAGCGCCGCTTCAGCGCCCGCTCCCGGTCAGCGGGTGCCAGCAGGCAGTGAGGACAGGTGCAGCCCAGGCAGGCCAGCTCACTATGTGACCAGCGGGGAGCCTGGCGGTGCGGCGCCGGCGCCGGCAGCGGATTGTTCTCGTGCCAGGTGGCGCCAGCTGGCGGCCGCTGTGCGCACCGCTCTCGTTCGAAGCGCGACCTGTAGACGGCGCGGATACGATCCACCTCGCGCTGGCGCGGGTCGAGCCGGCCGCCGAACAGCCGCGCCTCTTGCAGCTGCAGCTCGGGCGAGACCCGCGGCCCGGCGGCGCCGCGCCGCGTCAGCGTCGACTGTGCGTCGAACCCCGCGCCAAAGCCGTCCTCGCTCTGAGCGCTGAGTGTGCCCAACGCAGTCGTCCGCCGCCGCTGCTCAGCCGGCGGGTGGCGGCCCGTCGCGCCGGCCGCCCGCAGCGACAGGAAGGGCGGCGTGACCGGGCGGCCGGCGCGAGCTGGCCACTCGTCCGGACTGTCCGGGCTCGGGCTGGAAAAGGAGGCGACGTGCGGCCGACTCGGGGCGGCTTCCGGCGCGGCCGGCCTGTCCGGACCGACCTCTGCCTCCGACGAGGTCTTGCTCGCCTGGTCGCCGGTGACTGGGCTCAAGTAGTCGTCCAGCAGGTAGTAGACCTGCGGTCCGCTCGGCCGCTGGGTCGGTCCGTCTGCGATCTGGGACGCGCCCCGGCCTCGGTCCTGCGCCATCCTTGTGACGGGCCATCGTGGTGGCGACGAGTGGGCAGGCCGCGGCTCCGGCGGCCGGGGCTCGGCGGCGGCCAGCACGCGCTCCTCCAGCAGCGTGCATAGGCTGCGGCTTCGGCGCTCGCGCGCGGTCGAATCGGAGCGGCCAAGTCCCACCCAGCGGCCGCCGGAGCCGGTGCTCCCTTCCGCGGTCGGCACCGGTGGCACGAGCACCACCGCCGTGCGGTACTGGCCATTGGGAGGGTAGTGGTGCACGGTCGAGGCCGGCTCGTGGCCCAGTCTTCCGCTGGGGCGCAGGTCGTCGCGGCTGCGCGAGCGACGCTCGTTCGAGTTGCGCGCGAACACGGCATCAGCAGGAGCATCGTTCAGGTGGCCGGAGATGCTCATCGAGCGGCACAGGCCCTTAGCCGGCCGCGGCGGTACCGGCGGCAGGCTGGCGGCGGACGGCGGGGACCGGACCAGGCAGCAGCCAGCGCCTGGTGTCCGAGGCAAGGGCAGCGGCGGCCAGAGGGACGCGGCTGGCAGACGGGGCTGGCTGGCTGGGGTGTTCAGGCCAGATGGCGCCGACAGCGCCTGGTCGGCTGGCATCAGCCCGCGTCGTTTCAGGGAGCCGGTGTCTATCGGAGCCACTCGTGTCTCTGCTCCCCGCTGTAGAGCCGACGGCCGGCTGTCCAGGCTCGCCTGTCGGGGGCCTGGGGTGCCGTCGTCATGCGACGACTCAGACAACCTCGGCCCGTCGCAGTGGAGCCGATGCCGGCGACGGGACGCACCCGAATCGGCCGGGCCGCCGTCTTGCCCGTCGTCTGACGGCGGCCGGCCGAGCCTCTGGCGACCATGCTCACCAGCCGGCTGGCCGCGCGGAGTGGCAGCCGTGCCGCGCTCCCCCGCCGGCCCCGCCGGCTCGCCCAGCTCCCGCGGCAGGCTGCAGCTGCCGAACGCGCCCGGGTAGAACTCGGCGGCGCTCGCGTAGCTGGCGCGCCTGCTCAACGTCGGCAGCTGCGGCAGCTGGACGTCGCGCCGCCCCGTGCCGCCGCCGGCCCGACAGCGGCCCCGGGCGTAGTACTCGAGGAAGCCGTAGTCTCCGGCGTCGGCCGGCAGTGCGGCGGCCGGCGCCGCCTCGCCGGCCGCCAGGCTCTCACTGCTCAGCCAGCCGTGCACGCGCTGTGGGGGGTGTCGCACGCTCTTGTGACGCCCCAGCGCGCCCAGCCATCTCGCCCGCCGTGGCCACGGCTCGCGCGGCGCGCCGTCACGGCTGGCCGATGACGTCACGGAGCTGGGGCTGTGTGGCTTCTCGCGCTGCCACAGGCTTTCCAGAGCTATCCGCATGGCGGCGCTCCTGTCGGCGGTGACTCTGGCCCTGGCGTTGTGCCAGGGTTTGGCTCAGTGGAGACGGAGTCGGTGGCGAGCTGGTCACGCCCGGCCGGACGATACTGAAGGCAGCATGAGAATGCGAACACGCCGCTCCCTTAAAAACAGAACAAAAGAAACGAAATCAGTTGGTGTACATCATAAGCGAGTAGCATAGGCACAATCACGAGTACAATAACCCTTTTCACGCAACCATTTTTTTAAAGCAGGCACCTAATTTGGTACCAAAACTGAAATGCTCAGAACATCGGCTAAGCAAACAGATGTACATGCTTTGCCGTCAGGGCTTTCAACTAGTCTGCCTGATCACTCCCTCCCAAGGCGTTCGTTGTTTCGTCGCTGCGTCTTGCTCGTCATTTGCCTTGTGCGGCACTATAGGATTTGGTCCCGTGGGACGGACAAACTACGCCAACGTAAAATGACGAATTGGTACATGTCGAAAAAACATGAAGTTTTCCCCCTGCTCACGCCACTTTCTGTATGTTTTAGGATAAGGTGCTTGTGGGATGTGGTGGGAGCAAATTACGTACAAGTGGAACCAACGCTTACCGGCAAAGAGCTAACGCGCACAAAAATATAGGTCAGCGGGCGGGCCTATCGGTGGTATTGACATTCAGGCGTGAGGTTTGTCGCTGGGTGCTGCGGTGTGCATGGGTAAGGCCAGCATGTCACGGCGGCTAATCAATCTATCGGTAGCAGGCAAGCCCGCTGGAGTTCGTGAATTATGAACCAACTTGGCCGATCTTCGGTAATTGGACCGGGCTGCAGCCAATCGAAACTTGGTACGATTTCAATGGAGTCCGCTCGCCCGGTGAACTGCGATCGTGGCTGTGGCGGGCCCGGCCAGGGGTTGGGCGGTACGCGACCATAGCACCCTGGCCAGCCAAATTCGCGGAGAAAGATGACGGCGCTACTCAGTAAGTTGATGCACCCGGCGACAAGCGCCGTTGGGGGAGAGGGGGGGGGGGGGGGGGCGTTGGCCAATCGCTGGCGGAGGCGCCGAGGTCCTGTAGGGTCGGGGGGTTTCCCGACGGCAATCTCCGTCCCATTACGCCACTGCGAGCGGGACGCGAAAGGCGAGGCCGCCTTTGAAGGGCTCTCTCGCCAGGCTGAGTCGGCGACAGGCTATCGGGTTTGCCGCGTGCAGGCGGCAGCTGACGGCGGCCTCCGACGGGAGTGGAAGTGTTGTACGCCGTGGGCTGGGCTGCCGGGCCGGAGAGGGAGAGAGTGAGGGGTACTCAAACGCCCGTGGCTGGACTGTCGCGAACAGAAGGAGAGGGGCCGTTAGACGCCGGAAGCTGGGCTGCCGGGCCGGAGAGGGAGGAAGTGAGGGGTGCTCAAACGCCCGTGGCTGGGTTGCCGGGGACGGGAGGGGAGGGGCCGTCAGACGCCGGCGGCTGGGCTACTGAGCCCACACCGTCTGGAGAGGTGCCGTTGCGGCGTCAAGCTCCATTTTCCCTTTAAGGAGACGACATTCTCACCGTATCGTGAGTCCAGGCTAAGACGCCCTCAGATCCGGGATGAGCCGCACCCGAGAGACAGGCCGGCGCGCTTGACCAGAGTCGCTCCCCATTAGAATGCAGGACGTGAGGCATGATGACCAGACTGTCGCATCAGTTTTCGGCCGGTGGCAGTAATTCCAGTCTACACTTGTGGAAAGTTTGCAGTGACCACGTTGACAGAAATGAATTACCTACATGGGGGAACCGACACTAATTTTGATTGGCGTGGTATTAAATAGACCATCTACGCGCTAGATCAGTAGTGAAATGAGATACTATGCTAAACGGGAGCAAATAATGGCATATTCACTTTGATGACAGTTTGTGAATTACAAATTTTTGTTCGATGACCCTGTGCAAGCATTTTGACAATGCGTTCGATGCGCATTGGGGATCCATGCGCAGAGCGCAGAGATGAATCTTACAACAACCGAATGATTATAGCGTGTGTTCCTGCTGTCACATCATGTGTCATATGCACAATTCATATGATCCACAGAAAGCATAGCATCGATGTACACCGTAGACATATGGCCCACCTCCCAGACTCCAACGAACAGATCGGACCACTCATTCGCTGCAAACTAGGGCTCGGCTCGTCCGCCGGTGCACCCAGTGCCCCTGCGTTTCTGCTTGAGCTCGGCTCTATAAACGGCATGTCTCAGTCAGCTGATTGAAAAGAGGTTCAAAGTGGACAAAATCATCCGTTGACATCGCATTTGGCCGGCAGGTAAGAGTTGGAGTTTGCCGTCTAGCGCTCGTTACGACGAGGA